TTCATTGTTTAAAATCAAATGGTTTATAATCAAAACTTACTGCTGCTTTTGTAGCATACAGTAAATACGCAATATGCTGTGCTCCTGTTAGAGATAAGGCTAGGTCAATCCTACCATGAGCTATTCATGCTCAAGGCATTCGTTACTCAATTTGGGGAAGCAAGAAACAGAAACAAGGCCTTTTCACATATAATAATCCTTATGTTTGATCTAACGCCTTATCACATCGTCAAAACATTTCAATGTGGTTCACAGGATATATTGTATAGTGTCATGACTATTTTGTAGGTGAGTGCAGCAGCAAATTTGCTCACCACAATGTCGCACAAACAACCATGTGAATGATCAGTGAATGAACAGTTTTATCTGTGGGATTGTTGGTTAGGACACCGGAAGAAACTTCTCTTTTCAAATTGTTCAGTGGGATATTTATCGTCCATTGGAACGGCCAGATGAGATCTTCAGTTTTACATCTTCTCATGTGAAGGACAGTGTCTCTGACAATGCAGCAGACTCCTGGTGCAGCAATGAAGCGTCAGGCTAGACTATGAGCAGTTTCTAGATTTTGAGCTTGAACCCATAAGTCATTAACCCAGAAGTGAGAGTGTTGCATCATGGACACTAACCCAATTCACCCAACCTTAACAAATCAAATTTCTGCAAAATGTGAATCCAAATCCAAATGAGTAAAATTCAAGAATAATCATATTATATTGTTCATCCTTGGTGTGACTTTCCATTATCTCAGCAGCTCAGAAACCATTATCTTATTAGTTTTAACTCTAATATCTTTATTGAGAATTATTATGATAACCAGATATTTATCCATCCTTTAAGGGGATTATTGGACACGGTATTAACCCTTAGCTGTTCTACGGAAATTCCTATCTTCTGCTCCAAAAAGTTTATGTTGTGCTGAGAATACAATGATAATCTTACATTAATGTAACTACTAAATCCGTGGGGCTGGCTTTATTGTTGTAACATCAATCGTAACCCACTACACTATATACAGTACATATTGTATATATATTAATATGTTGCTTGTTTTTTTTCTAGCATTTGTTTTGTTCCCTAATCTTTAATCCTTTAAGCATGGGAAAGTTAATTGACTGTGGGATTATCATAATGAAGCCTGTTCATTGTACATTTAAAACAGTATTATTTTTAATAATACTGCCAATGCTTTGCTACTTCTTTTAGCTTTAAAGATGTGTTTCTTATTATCTTTCTTCCAGCTCCTACAATTTGTTTGAAAAAGTTTTTTTGAAAGAAGCTTTGGGTGGTTTTGAGAAGATAAATATCTTGGTTCCCAGTGGTTCAGTGAGTTTCTTCTCTGGTTTGATAGCTGGTGCACGCTGAGTTAGCTTGTCTCAGCTGCATATTATAATTCCTTTCAGGGCCCTGGGTTAGAAGGAGGAAAAACAGCTAAAATTCTCAACTGTACCTAGTAATTCCTGCACAGTGTTGATGTTGGATGAGGTCAGGATGAAGCTTCACTTGTGATATTCTCACAATCCGATAAATTGCTGTTGAGATTCATGCACCAAAAAGTAGCCAGTTGGGCAAGATACCAGAAGGTACCTAGCACCTATAGAACAATGCCCTCTGTCTTGGAAATGTCAGTCAAATCATTTCAGGGGAGAAGAGAAAATTGGGTGTATAGAAATAATCTAATTGACAGATGTACATCTGGCTGTGACTGCTGATCTCCACTTCAATATTGGTATCCCAATGATTAAGTGAGAGCCATGAACCTGTCCCCCTTGGTGCTCTAAGCATTTGACTAATTTTACCTGGAATTTATTCACCATCTCATTACTCCTGTGTGTAAAGAGGAAAAGAGCAGGAATTCTCCTTAAGACTTGTTGCTTTATACTTAAAAGTTCTAGTACTGCTTGTGTTAAGTTGCACAACTTTGTTCTGGTACAGTAATAGACTGTATCTAAAACTTAGTGGAGGATTAGCTTTAATTATTAAGTAAAACATGTAGGTCTCCTGCTTTTTTTAAGCTGCTAATGACAATGGTTTGTGTGTGGCCCAGTACCTTGTATCTCAAGTAATAGGCTGCTATACTGAAGTGTCATAGCTCACCATATCGAGCAAAGAACAAATTGAAACTATTTATTAGATTAACACCCTGTCAAAAGTTGACTTGGGTCAACCAGTTGGTTTTCCTTTGTTACGGATGATGTCTAAGTTAATGAGGTGCGTGTAATTATAACTGACTGTTGGTGGAAGGTCAGTAGTTCAACTCATCAATTAAGCTGTCTATACCCCAATGTAAACTGGATCATCTTTAGACCTTCTCTGTACTGAGCAACACTAAAACACAAGTATTTAGCAAATTGTCTTTCTCAATTCAGGGATATTTTTAGTCCATTAAAATAATCCAATCTTTAGGTTGTAATTTTGTGTTTCATTAAAGCCCTTGATATACTGGGAATGGGACTGCCTGAAGGATCGTGTGAATTGTGAACAACCTGAGCTCGGTCTTTCCCCCAAAAGATGATCCATTTCAGTCAGTGGATTAACAGCAGGTCTGGGAGTACTCCATGTGTACCAACTGATTAGACATGCAAGTAAACACCACAGTATTCTGCATGTGTGCAGATGGCCAGATGTCAGCTTATACAGTGATGTCACCTAAAATCTGTATCTGTCTGTAATCATAGGGAAAAACAGATGACTTTTTAATGCAAGTATGTCACTGGTACTACGCACTTTGCAGCTTTTATAGAACAGAATAGCAGTGTAATAAGAATGATAAACAATAATTAATAATTTGCGCCATTTTTTTTGTAAGTGGTATTTAAGTTGTACAATTAGTGTAATTAGTACCCAGTGTGGCTCGCTGGCAATGATGCATCACAATCCAGATTCTCCTGTCTCTCTTCTAGTTTGATGTATGGGCTAATTTAACAGCTTTGAAAAAATTTCTCACACAACAGCTGTGATGTCCCCATACTTTGTCTTAGGCATCTGTTGCCAGGTTTTCAGAATGCTCAACATTTACTGGAGTTTTCAACCTAGATTTTCCTTATCTTAGTACTCGCAATGAACACTGTTGGGGTGTATATGAGGTGCTAAAGGTATTTGGAAAATGTATGCAAGTTTTAAGTATTGTCCTGTGCTGCAAAGTTCTCTGTGACTCCAGTCAGTGTTCCTCTGTGATGATCTGGTAGATTGCACAGTTGACAATGGCAGAGATGAGCAGGGTCAGTCCTTTCTCACTGCCTTGAGATGGAATGCCTCCAATACATCTTGCATCCCAGCTCTGGATTGCCAAAGATATGACTTGAGCTGAGGCAGCACTGGGACCCTATAACATTTGGAGAGTCCAGCATTTACTGTTTGAGCTACTATTTTGGTGTTTTTCCTGTCCCATCTTAGGAACATATTTATAAATTGATTCTTGAGAGTCAGCTGCAGTATTCTCAGATATTTGTCAATTTTCTCTCACTTCCCACCGCAGAGGTTGCTGACTCCTGTCAGGGTAAGATTTAAGCGGTGCCAAAATCCTCCTGATTTCTCATCAAGGTAATAATTGCCTGGCAAGTGACTATTGACAGCTATTTGATTGTAGGAGATATCTTAACTAAGCCTGATCATGTCCTCACATGACATCAATAGAAATGAACTTTCCAGTCAGTTATTGGACAGTATATTATTATTTATCACATAAGCAGGAAGAAGAATCAACTGATTTTTATCTTCACTTAAACCCAAAGATATAATAATCTTTACACGTGATAAGGTGCAAGATCAAATGCAAGCATTATTAATAATAATATGTAGTGCTTTATCACATTGTTGATTTCAAAGTGTTTCACAGGATTTTCAGTGAATTATAGTTAATGACAGTATATTTTGTAGGCAAGTGCAACTTCAACACAGCAATATCCCACAAACAACCACAAAGTGAATGATCTTTTTTTTAATCTGGGAGAATTATTCACACAGGACACTGGGAGAAAGTCCCTTCTCTTTTCAAGTAGTGCCATGGGATCTTTACCGTCCATCTGAACAGGAAGACAGAACCTTGGTTTACTGACTCATTAAAGCATGACACCTCCATTCTTAACATCACCATTCTTAACAGTATCCAAACAAAACTAAGTTCCATACATTCCAGCCATACATGGAAATTCCTGAGATATTTATTGGAACAGAATGTGCACTCTCTCCCTGGAGGGACACATCCTGCTTACCGAATTCCAGAGAGTATTAGGCATAGGTTGGCAAGAGCTGAGGCCTGGATGTGTGTCGGGTAATGCTGGAGTCTAACCAGCTAAAACCGCATAGCTTGCCATTAAAAGCACTCTCTGGCAAGCATTCCCGCTGGTTGTCCAGCTAGAACCACCCTGCCACTTAGGGCTTTGGCTTGCAGAGTTAACAGAAACTGAGTAGGAAGAATCCCTGCTGCCAGTGACTGGTCTGACCTTCCAAGTCCTGCCAATGAGCAAGGCTGGCTGGGCTATAATTAGCATTGCAGTGGAGTACTGCAGACCCACCTGACTCAAAGCCCACCCGCGATTTGAGGTAAAAGTCCTATAATGGAGTAAGCAACCAGCGTGGTTGATATATTCAGCACCTGAAGTGAAGAAGTGCTAATGAGAGAGTCTCAGGTTTGTCAGCATTGAGCTGGAGGAAGTTAAGGCTTATCCAGGACTTGATATCTACCAGCAATATATCAGAACAACATACTGGCATTGAGGGGAGAGGCAGAAAAATAGTTGGGTCACATCTGTCTATATATGGAAGTGGACCCATAACCACAAATGATGTCAGCAAGCATAAGCGTGTGGATGAGGAAAAAGAGAGGATTGAAGATGGACTTTGAGGAGCACCACACTTGATTGTCCATTGTATGTGATGTTTAATAAATATTTGCCAAGTGATTAAAACTTTATTTTCAGAACTCTATTGAGGAAATAACACTAATATTGATGACGTTTTAATGTTTAAAAAGTTAATTTTTGTTGTTGTTTCTTGAATAGAGCCAATGAGGTCACCCAAAAGCCTAAAGATTGCAGAGATCTATGCCAGGCACCTCGCAGTTGAGCTGGAGTCCTTGGGCTACAATATAACTCGCTGTCACACCTACAATGTCACTGTGTGCTTCCACTACTACTTTGGTCACAACGAGAGCAAAGCTGATTGTGTGGAAATGGATCAGAAATTACCTCAGCATATTATTGACCATCTGCCCCCTTACACAAACATCAGCATCAAAATGATTCTGACTAATCCAGAAGGAAGGAAGGAGAGTGAAGAAGTTGTCGTCCAGACAGACGAAGATGGTAATTATTTTTATTCTTTAGAATTATCATCTATATTGATTCCCTATCTTGCAAATGGATTGAGTTCAAGATCCTCATCCTCACCTTTGAATCCTTCCACTGTCTCGCCCAACCCTACCTCTGTGCTTTCTGCAAACTGTACCAACCTGACTGCTCCCTTTGCTCAGCAAGCATTAGTCTGCATCATGTCTCCATCTCATCGGCGGACTGGTTTTCAGCCTTTTTGTCCCCACTTTCAGGAACTCCATCCTGGTGTCCCTTCAACTTGTTCCCTCCCTCACCTCATTCAAATTCCTTCTCAAGACGTATCTCTTTCATGTCACTTCCTGGGTTTTATCCTCATGCATGTTTTTTGCAGCGTTGCTGACATCACATCCTGCATGTGCCTGCTCTATGCAGGAAGTATTGCTGGTATTACTTCATGAAGAAAGTGATGTTAGCAGGGCTTCTTGGGAATAGCGCCTATGCACAATGCAGAGCAAGTGACGCCACATCGATCTGACAACTCAGTCGTTCTTTATTTTGGGCTTACATTGAGGGATCTGAGATATTAAACCCAAATGACTGCAGTTATAAAGGAGCTTGCTTATAGTAATTAAACTCTGAAAAAAAGTAAACATTTTGATAAGCTTGCTAGTTCACCTCAAATGTGTTCAGGATTCTTAAGACCCTGCTGTATGTTTGCCCAAGGTTTAGCTCCATTACAGTTCATGCAGGAGTTTTACTTGCTTTTCTTCTCTTGGGAGGTGGCATTTGCTGTGAATTAATTGAGGGATCAGTGAACGGAATAGTTTGAGGGGTGGCTGTTACAGCACAGTTGATGGGAGCATTTTGAAGAAAATTAGACAAACACAGGCACTGGAAAGATTCAAGAGGTTCCTGGATAGAACAGGCAATTAGGATTGAATTCATTAGCTTCTTGAAAAAGCAAACACCAACACAAAAAGGGTAAAATTCGCCACCTACTGTGTCTTACACTTCTTTAGTTTAATGGGTTTGGAAAGCTTCCCTCATGTGAGGCTGTAATCTTTTGCCTATTAATTCAATTTCATTCTGTGAAATGTGGAAAGGGAAGGATGGGCTCTGATTGATACTTATTTGATGTATGTATGACTGGCTGCTGAACTACAGTGTCAGATTGAATATAGGGTGTAAGCCTTATACAGAGTCTGATGTTGCAGCCTTGGCTTTCAGGTCAAGGATGGGGTTAGAGGAATTCATATAATTGCACATGCAACTTCTGGTAATATTGTAGTTGAGCATAATTAACTTTCCAACAAAGTCATGTCTTATATTCCATTCAGCAAAATAAATAATCTTCAGTTACACTCCTATCAAAGGATAATGCAGCTAACTCAACCAGAAACACATTTCAAACCGAGGTGAATTGCACAAAAATGATGGCAATATAGAACCAATTGGGCTGCATCAAGTTTACGATCCATGACTTTTGTTTTGTGACCTTGGATCTTTCCTGATCATACCCAAATATGTGCACAAAATCCACATTGTTTGCACAAAGTGCACCAATAGACATTTAAAACCCACTTTGAGCCAGCAGAAGGCAACAATAAGTGATCCAGGATATTAAAGAACCAATGTGTCGATGGGGTGAACCCCGAGTCAAAAACATGTTAGGCAGGATTGTCAAGAGTGTATGGAAAGCACATTTAACCTTCTTTTCTCCACAAGAACTGAGAAATTGCATTTAATAATAATAATAATAATAATCCTTGCATTTGATATAGCGCTTTTCACGTCGGGAGGACGTCCCAAAGCGCTTCACAGAATAGACTATAAAGTGAATTGACTGTATATTTGTGGGCGAATGCGGCAGCCAATTGCGCACAGCAATGTCCCACAAACAGTCGTAGATTGAAAATGACCAATTTATTATTGTTTTTGTTTTGGAGGGATTATTATTAGGCTCTGTGTGGAGTAAGGAAACTTGCCCAAGGTTTCGCCCTGCCTGGAATTGAACTCAGGTCTCTCACTTGCAAAGCGAGTGCTCTAACCACTGAGCTACAGGACTCCACGAGTTAATAAATAACATTTCACAGATGTACTGTCAGCCTTTGTAGGCAGGACTGGGTTTGGCACAGCACAGGGTAGTATACTTGTGTCATCCAAGTTCAATTGTGACATTCTTGCCTCTAAGTCAGGAGGTTGTGGGTTCAAGCCCCACATCGGGACTTGGGATCAAGTAGACTAAGATGACATTCCAATACGGTGCTGGGGGGTTGCTGTATTGTTGGAGGTGCTGTCCTTCAAATGAGACGTTAAGCCGAGGTCCCATCTGTCTTTTCAGGCAGATATCAAAGATCCCATGGAATTATTCTAGAAAAAAAAATTGTAAAAGGTTTCTTTAACCTTCCCTGCCTATCCCTCAGACTCAAATGAACCTGTATCTAACCTTGGCATCAGGATCGATTTCAGGATACTCACTCTCACATTCAAATCTCGTCATGCACTGACATTACTTTACCTCTTTGATCTGGTTGCACCCCACTCTACCCACTGCCTTCACTGAGCTGGCATGGGTCCGCAGCATGTATCCCACAGTCACAATAACTCCCTCTTGCCCCATCTCGGACAGTCTTCAAATCACACCTGAAGACTTCCCTCTTTGACCGTGCCTTGGATCACCTCCCTTGCCCCTTTCTGTCTCGGTAAGGGTCAGCCTTTTTGAACTGAGGTGAGGAAACATTTCTTCACTCAGAGGGTAGTGAATTTGTGGAATTCTCTATCCCAAAGGCTGTGGATCCTCAGTCCTTGAACATATTCAAGACTGAGGTTGATAGATTTCAAAAGAATAGAGGGATTAAGGAATATGGGAATAGGGCGGGTAAATGGAATTAGTTTAGAAGATCAGCCATGATCTCATTAAATGGCAGGGCAGGCTCGAGGGGCTGAATGGCCTACTCCTGCTCCTATGTCTTATGGTCTTATAGCCACTCCACTGCTAAGTACTACAGTGACACTACCCACATGAAGAGCACTGAAGGTCCAGACAATCCTCAGAGCCTCCAGTGGTCTTGTTTTCTGCATCATTAGCAGCCAATGTACTTTGAAAACAGATTACCTTAAGGAAAGCATCAAACCCTGAGTAGGAACAAATCTGGTTCTTCCTCAACCACTTTTCATTAAAAAAAATTCAAAAATAGTACTGGTTTTGAATAGTCTATTCCTGAAGTCCTAAGTGAGGTACAGTAATTTTGGTAAGTTGCCACATGTAATACAACTGTCCTCCATCTCTGTACATTTGTTCACTAAAAGACATTTATATTAATTCAAGCACAAATTTCATTTCACTCTTACAATGCCCTGTGTATTTATTGGTCCGTTAAGTGACAAGTACAACCGAGGGCAATTTCATGGTTTAAGATTAATGTTTTTTTCCCCCATACTTTATTGTTAATTACACTGAAGACTGTCCCAGTGTAATGTGCCATGTCATACTGTTTGCAGGATTTATTTTGAGATTGATCTTATTTTTTAACAAAATGTATTAAATAATGTATTTAGTTTCTTTGCGGTCAATTTACATATATATCAAAAAACTCTCACAACACCAAAAATATCTGGACTTTATATTTGATTTTAGCCAGAAATAATTAGGGAGGAATTTATTTTCATTTCTGGAATCCTGTAACTCAGTTGTTAGAGCAATCGCCTCGCAAGTGAGAGACCTGGGTTTGATTCTCGGCAGAGCGAAATGTTGGGCAAGTTTCCTTACTCCACACACCTCTCTTTGTCTAGCAGTAAACAGGAACCCAGTTGTTAGTTGATTGGCGGATTGCTTTTCCAGGGATAACAATCCCTCAAAAAAATAAATAATTTGGTCACTCAATCCACGACTGTTTGTGGGACACTGCTGTGCGCAATTGACTGCTGCGTTTCACCCACAATTATACAGCCAATTCACTATACAGTATATTCTGTAAAGCGCTTTGAGACATCTGGAAGACTTGATAAGCGCTATATCAAATAATGGATTATTATTATTACACCTATAGAGCTCTCCATTAAGTTTCCATGAGCAGTCTGCATGACTAGGAATTCTAGATATACAATTGTGAATAGTGCTTACCAAACCCTCGTTTTAAATGTGCTTATTTAACTAAGTTGCTTTTCTAAAATTTCTATGGGGTTTTCTATTTGCAGGTGCTTTTATGTGCACCACTCTATCATCCAAGCTAAAATGTTTCACTTGACACAAACAACAACAACAAAATTACATTTCTATAGCGTCTTTCATGTTGGGAGGACGTCCAAAGGAGCTGGACAGTCAGTGTTTCGGACCAGAGCTGGCGGTTGGGATTGGAGAAGGGGAGGGCAGTGAGGGGGGAAGCAAGGTGATTGAAGAGGAGGGTCCAGAGATGGGTCTTGAAGGAGGCAAGGGGAGAAGGGTGAGGCGGAGGGTCTACGGGATGGAGTTGCAGAGGGCAGAGTGGCAGAAGGCCCGCACGTCAATGGTGAGGCGGGGGACGTGAAGCGGGCCAGAGTCCACTGAGTGGAGGGAGCGGGCAGGATGGTAGAGGGTTAGGAGGTCACAGGGGTATGGGAGATTGAGGTGGAGGAGGATAGAGTGGTCAACAGTGTCGAAGGCAGCAGGGAGGTCAACGAGGAGGCAGAGGTAGCCCTGATTGCAGATGGAAAGAATGTCATTTGTCACTTTGACCAGGGCTGTTTCTTTGCTGTGGGCGGCACAGAAACCCGATTGGAGGGGTTTGTGAAGGAAGTGGTAGGAGAGGAAGGAGCGAAGCTGTGAACCAATGACTCGTTGGTTCCAAGACCTTGGAGAGGAAAGGAACGTTGGAGATAGGACAGTAGTTTGAGAGCAGGGATGGGTCCAGGGAGGGTTTTTTAAGGACAGGAGTGATGACAGCCATTTTTAAAGGGGTGTGAACAGTACCATTGGACAGGAAGAGGTTTAAGATGTCTGTGAGTAGAGGATGCAAGGAGGTGGAGCTGAGAGGGAAGGTGAGGGGGTAGGGATGGGGTCGAGGGAGCAGGTGGTCGGTTTCATGCGGGTTTCAGTGATGGTGAGGGAGGAGTGGGAGACAGGTTCGAAGGTGTGGAAGGAGGGATGAGTGGGGGCCGAGATTTGAGGGGGAGATGGGGAGGGGATAGTAGACAGAAGGGCACAGGCAGCTGAGTCGATCCCCTCGACTTTGGATTCAAGGAAGTCCAGCATCACCTTGCAGTTGGCATTGGAGGTGAGGATGGGCGAGGTGTGAGAGAGTGCGTGGAGGCACCGGTTGGTGATGGAGAAGAGGAGCCTGGGGATGTTCTTGGCCTCCAAGATTATCTTGGAAGTGGAATGATAATTTAGCAGAGGTGAAGGCAAAGCAGTAAGATTTGATAAGGTCCAGCTAGACCTGCCGATGGACCGTTTGACTTAAGCCAGGTACATTCAGCGGCACGCACCTGTGTTTTAAGTGAGTGGGGTGGCTGGTGTACCATAGTGACTTTTGTGTGTAGGAGATGGTTTGAGAAGAGAGGAGAGCACGGGAATCAAGAGTGGAGGAGAGGGAGCTGTGGAGAAGAGTGACTGAGGAGGATAGATCATTGTGGGAGGAAGCCCAGAGTGGGAGGAGTTCAGATGACTCCAAGGCAGTGGCGAGGGAGGGGGAGAGATTTTTTTCAGAAGCGGTAGGAGCTGGAGATGGGTTCGGTGGCAGTGAGGAGAGGGATTGAGGAATTAAAGGAGATGAAGTGATGTTCCGAGATCGCTTTGTCGATGATGGTGAGGTCTGAGTTGGTGAGCTCCGAGTGATCACCAGGTCGAGGAAGTGACCGTGGGCGTGGGTGGCAGAGTGGATGTGGAGGGAGAAGTTGAGGGAGGAGATAAAGAAGGGAAAGTCAGAAGAGGTAGAGCAGGAGGGCATGAAGTGAAGGTTGAAGTCATATAGGATGAGGAGTTCGGAGCAGAGGGAGAGGGAAGACAAGAGGGTGGAGGTGTCTGGGAGGAAGGTGTGGGAGGGCTTGAAGGGGTGATAGATAAGGAGAATTTTGAGGGAAAGAGTGGAGGGTTGATAAAGCGTAAGGTGCTCAAAGGAAGGGAAGGTTCCAGAGGAGTAAGGGGATAGGCCGAGCAGGGACCGTGAGGTGAGAGTCACACTGCCACTACGGCGGTTAGGTCGTGGGATCTGATGGAAGGTGTAGCCGGGTGGTGTGGCCTCAGTCTCGGGGAAGGTGTCACCTGGAGTGATCCAGGTTTCAGTGAGGGTGAGAATGTCGATGTTTTCATTGACAATGAGGTATTGGATGGTGATTGTTGAGTACTGGGTACTGTGCTTCGGATGAGATGTTCAGTGCCTTGGATGTCCTCCTGACGTGAAAGGTGCGATACAAATGTAAATTTGTACTGTTGTTAAACCAAGATCCTGTCTGCCCATTCAGCTCAACATTAGATTGCACGGCACTACTGCAAGAAAAGGGAGTTTCTCTCTGCTGGGGTCTGGGCTAACAATGCCCCAAATAAAATTGGTCATTCACTTCATAATGATTAGGCCTTTACAACAACAACAGCAAGATTGCATTTATAGAGCGCCTTTCATGTCGGGAGAACTTTATAATAATAATATAATAATCGTTGCATTTGATATAGCGCTTTTCACGTCGGGAGGACGTCCCAAAGCGCTTCAAGATCCTCATCCTCACCTACAAGGCCATTCACGGCCTTGCTCCCTCCTACCTCTCCAACCTACTATCCCCCTACCTACCTGCCCGTACTCTCCGTTCCTCTGGCTCCGGTCTGCTCCACGTCCCCCGCCCCAACCGTCCTACCATCGGTGGTCGGGCCTTCAGCCTCTCAGCCCCCAGGCTCTGGAACTCCATCCCCCAGTGCCTTCGCCTTGCTTCCTCCCTTTCCTCCTTCAAGGCCGGTCTCAAAACCTTTCTCTTTGACCGTGCCTTCAGCTCCCCTCTCAACTCTGTTCCCCCTCCTCGCTCCCTCCCTTCCCTCCCCTCCCCCTGACCATTTCCACCCTCCTTTCTCCCTCCCTGCTCGGGTCATGACCCAACTGTGCAGCGCCTTGGGACGTCCTCCTGACGTGAAAGGCGCTTTATAAATGGAATCTTGTTGTTGTTGTTGTTGTTCACAGAATATACTGTAAAGTGAATTGACTGTATATTTGTGGGCGAACGCGGCAGCCAATTGCGCACAGCAATGTCCCACAAACAGTCGTAGATTGAAAATGACCAATTTATTATTGTTTTTGGTTTTGGAGGGATTATTAGGCGTGTGGAGTAAGGAAACTTGCCCAAGGTTTCGCCCTCTGCCTAGAATTGAACTCAGGTCTCTCACTTGCAAAGCGAGCGCTCTAACCACTGAGCTACAGGACTCCACTTTATCTGCATGCTTAAGAATTCAGGTTGAACAGACCCTCATTTCCACTGTCCTCACTGGTTTCTGATCTATTTATGGAAGCTACACTCTCTGATCCAGATTTTTCAAAATTGGGCAAGATAGATCCCTTGTCTCTGGTTTTGAACTGACAATTGTTAATCACTAGAGATCAGTTTAAAGACACTTTCCAGTGATCTGTACACACAAGTGTAAATGAAAAGCACGTTTCCGCTCTTGCAATTGCCGCTTCTTCTGGTGATATCAATATGTGAGGAGGTACTCAGCTCAAATGCTGGATTTAAGTTTCAACCAAACCTGAGCTGCAATTCAACATTAAACAGGGAATGCATCAATTTCATATGCCAAAAAAAGATTTTTTTGTACTTTTATAAATACAAGATTGTAAACATGTATAAATCAAATACTACGAAGAAAGGGGAAATGCAATTACATTAAAATAATCTAATAACCAATTATCAGTTAGCACCTCATAAAGAGCAATGATCATGTCACAATTATTGCTATTTGAGGACATCATCACCTCCCCACAGCTGATTTCTTGACACCTGATAACACACAAAATGGCATGGCATGTTCATAACTGGCCATATAATAACTCTGTGATTGCAGGTATCAATCTCAGTTTGGGATTCAAATTAGTCTTTTAAAGTGTTTGAGCTTGTCTTGTGGTTTACAATGCCATCTGAACCCCGCAATGAGATTTCTGCCTTGTAAATCATTCTGAGGCATCCATTATTCCCTACAAACTGATTTGAATTTGTAGATAACTGGTGTACTTTGTCAGGCAGAAAGAACTTTCAAAGGAAGGACCATAACTGGATGGGTAGCTGAGCTGTGCAGAAAACCTGAATACAGTAATTAGGATTCATTCAAACTAAATGTGATGGGAGAGGGGGAACGCTTTGGTAGAGGAGAATGAACTGAGAATTGGATGTTTTCAAGAAGAGATGGGAGAGATTGCAGTAAAGAGGATAAGAAGAGAAATGTTAATGGGGTCAAAGAAAATTGTAGTTCACAAAGGATTTACTAATAGGGAAGCAGAGATGATAAAGGAGAATCCTGCTGTGATTGACAGTACCCTCTGCTGTCACATGGATATGTGTGATGGATTTTGTGTTAGAGCTTCAGAGTCCCTTTCAGTGTTGCCTTGCAAACCATCACTTTTCCACCCTAATACAACATGAAGATTAAATGAGGAATGCGAGTGTTCAAGGAGGAAGTTGTAACTTTTTTAAACTGATGCCAAACAATCTCATAGAATTGGATGTAAATGCATCCAGTGAAAACTTTGACATTCTCAGGGAAGCTTGGCTTGAATGGATGAGACATAAATTTATGATGTGTGTCTTGAGTGGACATCTAACATAAAGGTTTAGAAATAATGAGTCGAAGGATCGATTAGAGTATTTGAAAGAGAATGCAGAGGAAGCATATTGAAGGGTATGGCGAGAGGGCAGGAATTTGACATTAGGATGCTGGCTTCTCAGAGGAGCAAACACTGATGCAAGAAAGTGGGCAAAATGGCCGCCTTCTGTATCATTTATTCCATGGGACGTGGGTGCAAGCTTCACAGTGGAACTTGAGCTGATAATTGAGGTTGACACACGAATGCAGTGCTTATGGAGTGCTGTATTGTACATCTCTTATTAAGTCCCTCTAAAATATATCTTTTCAGGTTGCCGAACACTAGCGTATCTAGCTAAATGAGGTTGCTAAAGTCAAATTATCATTTGAGTGAACCAGGTTTTTTCATTTTTGATTATTATTATTTTAAGGAAACTTTGCTAATTTGTATTGGTTTTATATTCCTACACTTAGAACCAAAAGAAAAAGTGAGAGTGAATCCCTAAAATCTTCGGATATTGTTCTGACAGTATGATGACAGTAAATGGCCATTTTCAGATGAGTGACTGTTCACCTCAAGTACAAATATTAGTTCATGGTGGCTTCGACATTTTGACGAACATTGAATAATAAGGGTTAAACCCTTGGTCTTGTTACTTAATAACAGATATGGATTGTAAGACCAGAACTATGATCAGTTTGAAAGTCAAAGCAGGATTTTTATTTGAATTGACTTTTTTTAATAAGTGGCATAATATATCCTGGAGAAGATAAAAAGTCAATAAAGGTTTTTTTTAATATATGGTGAAGCTGTTCATTTGTTTCCTTTGAAAACTTAAAATACATTTATATAGTTGTCAGTGTAAACCTGGCTCACTTGCTTTACAGTGGATCCTGTAATGTTTGAAGCACTTTGAGACGACCTCTTGATTACTATTTTTTGCAAGGATTATTCTTATTGTTATTGTGGTTTTCAGTGCCTGGTTCAGTACCTGGAGAATCTTTGAAGGGAACACCATTCGAGGACAAGATTTTCTTGCACTGGAAGGAACCTGTGGAAGCGAATGGTATCATTACACAATATGAGGTAAGGCAAATATACCAATTACTCACTGACTAACTAGTCATAAATTTGTGTATTAATTTTCATTGTATTAAGTTAAGAATTAAAAATGATTACTCAAAATAAGTATTTGTACTGATAGCTGGATGAACGTTAATATTCGGAAGCTAAAAGTTTTTTTTAGTGATCATCTCTTGGATATTATTTAACCATTATTTTTGCTGCTCTCCATAAATGAGATAAATTTGCAAATGTTAATAGGCCAATGACAAAATCTTACCCTCTCCCATTTAAGATCCAATGAGTCAGAAAATTAACAGCATTTTCTTTCCCTCCAAAACAAAAAACAATAATAAAATTGGTCATTTTTCAATCTACGACTGTTTGTGGGACACTGCTGTACGCAATTGGCTGCCGCATTTGCCCACAAATATACAGTCAATTCACTTTACAGTATATTCTGTGAAGCGCTTTGGGACGTCTAGAAGACGTGAAAAGCGCTATATCAAATACAAGGATTATTATTATTATTATTATTGCAGGTCAGCTATAGCAGCGTCAAATCCTTTGATCCCGCTGTGCAAGTGGCAGGACCTCTTCAAACTGTGTCAAAGTTGTGGAACAGCACACATCATGTTTTCACCCATCTAGATCCAGGAACCACCTACCAGTTCTTTATTAAAGCCAGTACAGTGAAGGGATTTGGACCAGCTGCAGTGATTAATGTTACAACAAACATATCTGGTAAGTCTACATTTCTTTTTTTTCCCCCTCCCACCTCCAATTCTTCCCCTTCACGCACATAATTATCAGGAATGTAACATTTGTTTTAGTAGTCTATAGAAATATTCAAGTGTTGAACACAAAAAAATCTTTACACTTGATATAGTGCCTATCATGTCGGTAAGATGTCGCAAGTCATGTCACAGGATTATACTGTAATGTGTAGTGACTGTATTTTTTTGGCAGCCAATTTTCCCACTGCAATGTCTACAAACAGCCCTGATGTGAATGAGTACTTTTAGTTGGGGAATTGTTGGCCAGCACATTGGGATAAACTCGCTGCTTGTTTTGAATAGTGCCATGTAGCAAACAGCTTCCTTCAATGCTATAAATGTCTTTAGGTCTGTGGGCATTGCTTCCTGTGACTTGTGCCTTCAACTGCCCACCACAGGATGAACACAGTTTGTTGAATTGGATACTTGTATGATGTGCCAATCCAAATGACTTTTTCAATCACTTCTTCATTTTCAAACAATCTGCAGCAGCAATGGAAATAAATGCATTATGACATATTATTAGCATTACATTCATTTTTAGATGATACTGCATATTCAGTGCTGTTCACTCATTTAACATTCAGCTTGTGTAATGCCAGAATTAGAAAGGTAACATAATGACTGAGTGGATATAAGCTTCAGGAAATCTAATTAAGAAGGTCACTGACAATCAAAGGTTTGCCTCAGTCCAGCAATGTGTGAGGAGCAGAAGATTTCTTTCTTTTCAAAGAAGAGCTTAGTGCCCTTAGTGAAGTAGATGTCTCATTCAAAAGAAACTCAAGTCTCTTCAGTGCAGTGTCAATTGTCAAATTACAGATTCAAACTAGAAAGCAGCTCTGCTTTTTGAATAAAACATTGTTGGTGAATTCAAGGTGAGTTAAAGTACTTGTGACATTTTTTTTTGTGTGTAGATTTTTAAAGGACTCCTGGGGCAAAAGAGCATAAAACACAGTTTTAAAAATGACTTCCCATTAAATTGTTTATCTTTTCTTTCACACGACTGTTAGTGGTGAAAAGTGAAAGTGACTCTTGTTTTCAAACACACAGTCATTGCGGTCATTAAAATCGCATGAATCCTAACTCAACGACATGATGAGGCTCTATACCAAATGCAAGCATTATAATTAAATAGGATAGAATCTGTTATTCTGTCCGAAAATATTTTTTGCCATACAACAACAATTTGCACTTATTATGCCCCATTATGGGGGTGTGTGTCTCAGAGTGCTGGACAATGACTGAGTTTGATTTATTATACCATGAGTGTTTTAATCATGATTGTGACAAAAGAAAAAAAATGTAAGCACCATTTGCAATCTTGCTTCAAAGGGAGCTTCTCCTCTATTGACTTGGCTAACAATCCCCCAGATAAATTGGGCATTCGCTTCATGGTTGTCTGAAGGAAATCGCTGTGCACAAATCGGCTGCAACGTTCACCTACAAATATACAGTACTACACTTCACAGTAAAAATCTTGTGTCTTTTTCGAAATAGCCTTTTACTAATTTTGTAGCATGCAGAGATCAGAAGATCAGGGATTTAAAACAGATTATTTTGCAGGTACACTGTAGGTATGATGAACAGAACAAAAACAATGCAAAAATAAAATTACTCGCCATGACTTCTCCAGTCACCTGGTGGTTAAATAAACAGCCTTGTGCTGGAGCATTATACTTTTTCTTTCTTGTCCTCCTGGACTTCTCTGCATTCGACACAGTTGATCATGCCATCCTCCTCCATTGTCTCTCCTTCATACACTTTCTGAATGGTACCGCACTCGCCTGGTTTGAGTCTTTCTTAACCAACTGCCGTCACTTTATCTCTGCAAACGTTTCTCCACCTACAGGTACCCCAAGGCCCACTTCTTTTTCTTATTCACATGTTCTCTCTCCTCAATACCACCTGCAGACATGGGGTCAACTTCCAAAATCTACTTCTCTACCCTGGGTCTGCTGATATTCTGTCAACTTGTTTGTCAGACATCAAGGCCTGGATGAGCGCAACCTTCCTACAGCTGAATGTCAACAAGACGGAAGCCATACTCCTTGGCTCCCGTCTTCTCTCCTGCGGCTTCAACCTTCTTCAGCTCCCTGGCCTATCCCAGATTTACCGAACCTGTGCACAACCTCAGCATCCGGTTCAGTCCCGAGCTATCCTTCTTACCCCACATCTGGTTCCTCACCATGACCCTTTCCTCCACTTCCATCACATTGCCCGCCTTTTAGCGTACCTCCGTCCAGTGCAGCCGAAACTCTTGTCCACGCTTTTGTCACCTCCCACCTTGACTATACCAATGCCCTCCTCGCTGGTCTCCCCCATTCCACTATCCATAAAATCCAACTAATTCAAAACTCTGCAACCCACATACCCCACCCGCTCTAAGCTTCATACCCCCATCACACCAGTTCTAGCGAGGCTTAACTAGCGCAGAATATTTGTCCCTTGTACCCTCTTATCCATCATCGCTGCCAAGCCTTCAGCCACTACGTCCCAAAGCTTCAGAACTCTCTCTCTCAGTCTCTCTACCTTGACCCCTCCCCCGTTTTCAGATCATGGCTGAAGACCTGGGTTCGATTTCCAGGCATGGAGAAATGTTGCGCAAGTTTCCTTACTCCACATGTCTCTGTGTACCCAGTAGTAAATAGGAACCCGGTTGTTAGTTGATTGGCGGATCGCCTTTCCGGGGGTAATAATTCCTTCAAAAAAATAAATAAAAAAATTGGTCACTCAATCCACAACTGTTTGTGGGACACTGCTGTGTGCAATTGGCTGTGGCGTTTCACCCACAAAATGTACAGTCAATTCACTTTACAGTATATTCTGTGAAGCACTTTGAGACGTCTCAAAGACATGATAAGGCACTATATCAAATGCAAGGATTATTATTATTACAAGGCCTTCCTTTTCAGCCGTGTTTACAGTTACTTCCCCCTGGGTAGGCAACAGGCTCCAGCACTGATAAGTTCTCAGAGATGCTACTTCGAGATTTCTCGACCTTATATCAAATACAAGGATTATTTTATATTATGTCCATTCTATAAAATAATATTTTATATTATTTTATAAAATCCATTCTATAAAATAATATTTTTATGTTATTTTATAAAATATCTCGTCAGATATTTCATAGTATGTCCATACAGAAACAAACTGTGCTTCACAGTTTCACACCAGAGACTTTATAGATCTCAACAGAATTAACACTTAATACACCAAAGATACAAGAGATGAGCTTGATCAAAATAGAAAAATTTAAAACATTTTAGGAAGACAGCAATGGCTACAATCGCCTCCCACTCACACAAGATAAATGGGGTCTGTGACTCGCATAAAGAAGAGGTTTAAACTACAGCATGTTGCAAAATATCCACTTGACCAGTTCTGGTTGTGTTGGCAAGTGTCTATTTGAAGCAGTGGAATGTATTCATGTGATTACTTGAGGGTCTTTTATACCAAAGCACGTTAAAACTGAGTTGTGTTTGGAAGTGTTTTCAGCAAGTGATGTTATCCATTGTGACAGTGTTTAACTATGTATTGAGAAGTACACAATTAAAGAATTTCGCCCCACGGTCATTTTGTCTTCATGTTATACAAGTGCGAGAGTCAGAATATAAGTTAGTCTAGAAAAGAGAAAAAATAAAGTGGACAGTTAATTTAAAAAATGCCTTATAAACCGAATTCTTTGCCTAAGTTACTGAACCATGCCTTTCGCGATGTGACAAAATCCAAATTTTCATTTCTGCCATGGGAGAGAACAGAAATTGCTGTAATGTTTTAGTCAATTTTGGTTCCATCACCTCTCCCAAAGCCACTGACCCTGGCAATGGGGTCTTATTGCCTTAGCATCCTGAGGCTTCATCAACCCCCCACCTGCAATTCCTCCCCCCACCAATGTTACAAACCAGATTTAAGCACATACTTTTGAGTCCAGAGGTTTTCAAAGAAAACCACTGGGAATTTTAACAAAATGAAAGTTATGGCTGTCCTTTATCATAATTAGTGATAACCAGTATATTAAAGTTACCTCATGTATGTTTCATTTTAGGAAGAATGTTAACTTTTTGATTTGAAAAGTTTTTTTAAAACCTTTTCACAATTAAAATGTGTTTTTAATAAATTTCAATAGCACCAACCCTGCCCGACTATGAAGATGCAACTCTGAATGAAACAGCAACAACAATCACTGTGCTGCTGAGACCAGCACAGGCTAAAGGTGCTCCAATCAGGTACGTTTTGAAGCAGCAAACTGTTTATTCATTAGATTGGCAAGCTGCCGACTGCTAATATAGTACTTTATTTTCCAGCTATATACATTTGACATTGCTGTCAAGAGGTTTGTTTACTTGGATGGGCAAAGTCTACAGAATAGACCTACAGTTAATGAGAGTGGGGTCTTCAGGGATTTTGTACATTCAGGGCTCAAATCCTTCACATGTCGTCTCTATTTAAATTTATTTTCTCTGCTATTATGATTGCATTTTGCTTCCTCAACTGATTTTGTTGAGTAAAAGACTGAAAGAATTTGTTGTTGAAAAACTGATTTGAGCGATAAGTTTGGTTCTCCAAAGCAATGAGTCAGTTATCATGCTCTACATTTCATACAAATTATTAGGAAATTGGAAGGACTAGGGCAAATAGAGAGACAAAATCGTTGATGAATACAAAACATTTGACCTCCTCTTGCACAAGTGCCCCCATTAGAAATTATGTAGTAGCTATTAAATATTATTTGGTACATCTTTGAGGTTTACGCTGTATTTAATGTAACATTAATTTTGAATGACAATTGCTTGTCGTCTTATCAAAGAATTAATGAGGGGCAATTTGTCAACTTGAGTATTTTCAAGCGGCTATTAATGTAGTCTGAATTCTTCACTTTGTAGACACGGTTCTTGACTTTGGGTGCCAGCTTGTTAAAACTGATGTCACAATGTAATTTTTTAAATCAAAACGAGATTGTGAGTATTTGAGAGAAATTGGTTGACAGTTCTTTTGGTTTTGTCAGTTTCTCTGAGACGGTCAGAGTGAATAAATGTTTATGTTGTCAAAATGGTTGCTTTTGCTTTTTTGTTTTTGTAAGATATTGATGTAAGCTCTTGTTCAGGAGGCCAGGGTAACTGAGCCCCCAGGCATTTCCAAGGATCCTATCAAAGTCATTCCCATACAAGCAGTGCAAGAAGGAAGCCTTTCTCCGGCTGCCAGTTTAAGGCTCAAAATACTTGCTCTCAAAAGTGGGATTAATGGAAGCAATTAGCAACAGAGATCTGAACCTAAGCCTTTTCAGCCCAGGGTCTGATGCCCAAAACTTCACCTATTCTAAAAAAATAAAATCTGCAGAATTATGGAAAGTTCTTCAATTATGTCTTGATTTGAAAATTAGATTTCAGTAGTTCTTAAGAAGAACCAGCTTTCAAATTAAGTGCAAATATTAGATCCCAAATTATTGGGCCAAGAACTGAGTCAGCTAATTTTTCAATATCTACATTGAAATTGATATTGTAATGTCAACAAAATACCGATGGTAGGAAGTTTATGAGGTTTTTAATGGAATTGAGAAAGTAAATTCAGATCAATACTTTCGGGTAGGTGAAGGTCAGAACAAGAGGATACAGGTTTAGGGTCCCAAAGGGAATATTGAGACACAAACCAGGAAATATTTATTTAACCTGAGGGATTGGACCCATTTAAGGAGCAGCATGATGCTATAATGGAAGGATCCTATCAAACAAGCTGAAAGGCTGGTTTCATCCGAACCTCTCTTGTGACTTGAGTCTTTTTTTTCACTTTAGCACACACCGTGCACCCACATCTGGTTTGAATAATACACCGTATTATATTTGAGTATGACTTTAGCTATAAAGATTGATCAATGCTCTTATTGGAAAGTTTGGGTTTGAGTGTTTTAATATTGCTTTGCTTTGTGAAACGTGGTTGCATTCCTCCATATTCAGAAAGAGCAAGTGAGAGTAATTACATTCTTTCCTTGCTGTAATAGTATGCCATCTGCTTCAGTAACTTGCGATATTTCATCATTTAGAACTGTATAACAGCGAAGCAGTCAATTTCAGTGGAATGGACAGATTTGTGTCCATCTGTGCCCGCATTATGGTATGTCGCTTATATTTTAGATCTGGAAGGCTCCAAGCAAAGATGGATGTACTGTCAAGGTCATGAAGTGGATATGTGTCTTACCACATTCTGTCTCCAGTTAGATGACAACTGTGGATTACTGCTGCCAGCAGTGATTCTCTTGGCCCTTGTGGCAGTTCATATTATGGTGCCATTCGTAAGCACAGTATTGGCGTTGAATTTGCCCGAATAAAGGTAGATCGTTACTGGAAATGGAAGCCTTCATTGCTGGTTACTATGCACAAGGAAGTTAAATGTAAAATTTGTACAAAAAGTACATTTCAGTTATGTTTATTGTGACTTGTCATTTTACTGCAAAAAGCAATTGACTGGGATTATTTGTAATGTCAGCAATGCATCTCTTTGTATATCTGAACTAATGTATTTAACTAGGTCCCACTCGAAAAAAGCTTAAAGTGCTCATTACATGATTTGCCTACAAGTTGCAGAAATGTCTACAGTTATTTCAGTTTATCATCCTGTTTGTTGCAGCTTCAACTTTAACTGCTATTTGCATTACAAATGCTATAGTTTTTTGAGCTTTAAGCAAAACATTGACAAGGCTGAGTTCACTTGATATCTTCACAAGCCAGGGATCCATATTGGCAGTTGCTGGGTACAAGCCAGGAGTGGTGGGGGTGGGGGAATTGAATACAAAGCTAAAGTAGAGTCCTTCAGCTGAGACATTAAATTGAGGTCCTGCCTGCCTTACTGTCCAGATGGACAAAAAAGATCATGGTGTTATTCAACAAGAGAAGGGAGTTTTTTTCTGGGTTTTCTGGCCAAAAATTCCCAAATAAAATTAGTTACTCGCTCCACGGCTGCTTGTGAGACAACACTGTGCGCAAATTGACTGCTGCATTTGTCCACAAAATACATACAGTGACACCAGTTTACAGTAAATCTTGCAAAGTGCTTTGAGACCTCTGGACGACGTGATGAGTTATATCAAATGCAAGTATAATTACTATATGGGTTCCTCATCCTTCACAAAATGTTTCTTTAATCAGCTATTCAGTTTATGTAGGAATTTGCTGCTATGTTTTCTCTATAACATTCACTTCCATTCTGATGAAACTCATTCTGTAAAGCACTTTGAAACTATTCATTGTGTAAAGTGTGCTGTATAAATGTAAGTTGCTGATGATATTGTCAGTTTGGAGCTCATGGAGTTCCTAATATTTATATAACTTCCAAATAGTGCTACTGTAAATGTGGTACACTGAGGTTGAGTTCTGAAATTATGGTTTGTTCAGTCCAAATACTAACTACAATTTCCAAATGAGATCCATCCTTTGGATGAGACGTTACACTATCTGCTTAGATGGACTTTAAAGATCCCATAGTGCTATTCAAAAAAGGAAGTTAGTTTCTCCCAGTGTCACTCCATTTACAATAAATCATGTGAAGTGCTTTTGAGATGTGAAAAGGTGCTACATCAAAGGTGAGGCTCAATATTAAGGGTAATGAGGATCGTTAGAGCAAACAAAACAATAATAAATTGGTCATTTTCAATCCACGACTGTTTGTGGGACGCTTCTGTGCACAATTGGCTGCCGCGTTTTGCCCATAAATATACAGTCAATTCACTTTACAGCATATTCTGTGAAGCGCTTTGAGACGTCGAGAAATTTGCCCAAGGTTTCGCCCTGCCGGGAATTGAACCCAGGTGTCTCGCTTGCAAGGCGAGTTCTCCAACCTCTGAGCTACAGGACTCCACATGCACTAGAGTCCCATTTAGTTTCCTATCAAAAACAGTTGCATTTCTTTGCACTACTCGTATTAATCACCTCCTAACTTGTAACACCGCCGGCTATCCTCCATAACTTCCACACGTCCCGGCTGCATTGAATTGCGGGAAATAACGTCCTGACCCTATGACCCAAGCGCACTTACCGTCGGCTGTATTGACTTGTGGGAAAGCTAGTCTTGATCTGTCACTGCATGCGCAGAACTTCATTTCTTGCAATTCACTGCGATTCCAATGCTTGCCGGTAAGTGTGCAAGTGGCGATGGGTCAAGATACATTGAATTGCAGTAAGAGTAGTTTTGTAGCCCCATCACCACAGGCACATGTCCCGGCTGCAATGATAAACTGCTGCATTCATACTTACTGGCTGCAGTAACAAAGTGCAAAGCAGTGTAGATTGATCAAATTGTTTTTTATATGGTTTATACAGTTTTATATGATAAATGTTATTGTCCCAAACCAAGAAGGACTAGTTTTTCTCATACCGTCTTTGCATGTTTTTGCATTTTATTAGATTTTTTAAAAGTAGCATTTCCTTTGCAAACATTTTTTTGTGACTAATAATCTTCCTCAAATAGAGGATGTTGGATAATTGGTACTATAGAGTGCCAGTGGGCATTTGTGTATAGGGAAGGCAGTGTGTTACTAAGGAAAGTGCTTAAAAGTTTCATCTGATTGATTTTGTAACATTATAATGCACAGTATTTTTTAGTATGCATAGAATCAGAGGAAGTAAAATCATTAAAAGTCATTGTTCACAACTCTCACATTGCCTTCAGATGAGGAGGGGGTTCATTTATTGTTCTCAGATTTTGAGGGTTATGGGTTTTGGTGGAATTGTGCGATCCTAAGCTTCAGAAATAATTTTTGATATAAAAAATTGCTCATTTGATCTAAAACTGCTTTGACGCTAAGGGCTAGTCACAGTAATAAAATAAATTTTATATAAAAAATATAAAATAGACTTGCTCTGTATGTGGGTAGATCATTGTGACATGACGCTCTTTCTCTCTTTCATAGTGTCTACCAAATTGTGGTTGAAGAGGTGAATTCACGCAGATCAAGAAGGGAGGCCGGTTCAGCAGACTGTTTCCAGGTTCCAGTCACCTATCAAGCCACTGCAGCGAGAGGGTCACCGTATTATTATGCTGCAGAGCTTCCTCCCAGCGGAATCTTTGAACCAACTCCCTTCACAGTCGGCGACAATAAAACGTATAATGGGTTTTGGAATCCTCCCCTGGCCCCCAGAAAAGGATATCACATACACTTCCAGGCTGTGAGCAGCGTTGAAAAGGTGAATTTCTCTTCAGTGGTGCTTAAAATCTTGGCTTCCACTTTCTCTGCTGCCACTTGCTATAATTTGTGAGTGTCTCTAATTGTTTGAATTCTCCTGCAGTCATTCAAAAGAAAGCTCTTATTTAGCTGAAAAAAATCCTTGGTATTTGTGGCAGAAGGTTAAAGCTGAAGCACCTGAGATACAAAAGCTGCCATTGCTGATGTGGAACAAGACTTTTTTTGTGCGTGTCATTCGATTATGCCTTGAACCAGAAAAAAAAATTGAACAGATAAAGTTCATGTAAATTTTTAAACAGTGTTTTCACTTGGAATTCATTAAAACATGATGGTGGGTGTATGATTTTTGCAATGGCACAGCAGAAAGTATTTTTCACCAAGCAAGGTAGCCCACAACCATACTGACAAAATCTCAGAGTCTTTGTTAAACTTTGGCATTTTGGTCTACCCTCAACTATCCTTCAAGTCCTCCACCTGGGTTCTCAATTCCACTTTGTGTCATCTCAAGGCCTCCCCACCTTCCCCAGCAATGCAGCCCCAAACTCTCCACAAACTCCAGGTCATGTTGAACGCCACAGTTCTTATGCTTTCCCCGGCTCCACTTATTCCCTGCCCTTTGGCAGATTCACTTTTAAGATCCTCGTCCTTGTCCTCAAATGCTTTTGCAGGTTTGCTCCATCGTATCTCTTCAATCTCCTGTGATTTTATTCTCCCCGGTCTACATCATTTCTTGTGCCCACCGTAAGCTGGAGATCCTTCCACACTTTGCCCCCTTCCTCTGCAACTTTCAACAATATCTGATTACTCAAATGCACTCCTCACCGGACTTCCCAGCTCCACTATTCAAAAGATCCAGCTCATTCAGAACACCTGTCGCCCACATACTGACCCGGACCAAACTCTGTACCCACATCTCACCAGTTCTGGCCAGGCTCCACTGGCTCCCCATCACTGAAACGATCGACTTCAATAACCTCACTCTCGTGTTCAAATCCATTCACTCGCTGGCACCTCCCTACCTCTCCCACCTCCTCACTGCCCAATCCACCATCCTGCGCTTCTGGTCGTCTTTTCGACCATGCTTACGGTCACCGCCACACACCCCGGCTCCAGGGTCAAGCTCTGCCACTGTTAAGCGCTCTGATACGCTACCCTGTGTGGAAGGCACGATATAAGTGCAAGTTGATTGTTGATTGTCTGGCCTCTTCCCTCTGCTTTCAAATTCCAAAGACCTATTTCTTCGACTGTGCTTTTTGGGCCACTTCTTTCCCCCTTCCAAGCTACTTCCCACCCCGGGCTTCCATTCGGTCTTTGTAAAGTAGTTTGAGACATTCCAGCAATCAAAGACATTATATGGTGTAACTTGTTGTTGTCTAGTATTTTATCCTCTTTCCCTATGGTGTGTTAGCTACAATATGCTAAATAAGCCTAGTGATATCAATACACTGGAGGTTTGCAAATTAACTGTGGCTTATTAAAATATTGGATTGTTATTGAATTTAATGAAAGCTGCAACTACATGAAAGTGTTTCCATGAGATTAATTTCTTGTCGAAAAAATGTGAAACATTTCTTGGAACTGATTCAACGCATGTTATTTGGCAGGAAGAATGGCAAGTGCAAAGCTTCTGAGCTAAATTGAGACGATTGTGTTTACAAGATGTGAGTGATGTAGTTGCAGTTAGTTATATCAAGTCTGACTCACTAATTTGACTCCATTGTATTTAAAACTACTAAATTCCCAATTCCTGTCAAAAATGACTGTTTATGGAGCTAAACACTGCTTGATATGTTTGAGGCGTTTTGTGGTGTGTTTGATTTTGATGTGGTTATACATTCCAGTTTCAAGTCCATCATAAAATAGATTAGAGCCTATCCAATTAATTTCTCTCCGAAAATAGAGGTCATATTATCAGAGAGAAGAAGCGGGAAGTTTGCTTGGTTCTTGTATTGATATCTGCTGGGTTTGTATACATGATTCAGAGAAGACCGCACTATAATAGTGTTTATCACTTTGTTCTCTTTCCTCCCAACACATGTACTTGTCCTTGGGTATATCTATCCTGTATATATAGACGCATGTTTTTTTTCACTTTGGTGCTCGTGAGATTATGGTGAAAATGAACAATTTGAAAGATTCATTAATTTTTCTTGGGATTTGAGTATGAATCTGGCCCAAAGAAAGACAAAATATTCTGTCTTCTTGACTGTTAAAGCTCTGAAAATAACCAAACTTATAAATGAACTTGAGAAGTATGCACCAAGTGAGAATAAAACAAAATTGACTTTGCGTATGTTGAATGGTTCTGTGGGAAATAACAAAAAAAGCCACAAACGTACCTGAAACATGCATATTGACAATCAGGATTAGTCTATTGGTGGATTGGGATGGCTTTTAGCTGTAATAACTGTGCACCATACAAACAGGATTGCTTGATCCTGGCATTATTTTGAATCATTGATAAACTACTATCTCAAATTCATACCTCAGCTTAATTGTAATAAAAGGGGGTACAAAATATTACATAAAGTTACATATCTTGACTTTCCAGTGGCTTCATCACATTTTTTTATTTCTGTCTGAATTGATTTCCCCCCGCTCTTGACTCTAGCTGTGATTGTATGGAGTTATTTTAAGGGCTCTCTTTGTTTTCATTTACAGGAGACGAAGACACAGTGTGTAAGGATTGCAACAAAAGGTAGGAGTAATGCTTTCACAGAAAAAGAACTTTTTTATTAAGCCTTTTTAAGCTAATTTAATATGACATTTCTATAACAGAGCACATTTACTGGGGCCTGTAACAATGTCGGAAAAGTGCTCTGACTAGCTCTTATCTTATAATGGGAGTGCTACTTTTATTTATCACTCATTCAAAAGGATACTACTTTGTTGGTAGACTGAATTTTAGCAAAAATTAAAAGCAGATTATTTTGCGCTATTTGTGCTCTAAAGCATCTGTTTGCTATTGGACAGCTGGCATCTTAATATTGGGAAAAGGAGATTGAAGCTTTTATTGGGGAAAGCTTGAATTGTTGTTCAAAGCTTTATCTAGTGTGTGTAAAGATTGTGTAAAGGTCATTCAGAACTCTGCAGCTCGTGTACTGTCCCGCACCAGGCTTCGGGACCACATCACTCCCACCCTCGCTCGCCTCCACTGGCTCCCCATCCCCCAGAGGATTGATTTCAAGATCCTCATCCTCACCTACAAGGCCATTCACGGCCTTGCTCCCTCCTACCTCTCCAACCTACTATCCCCTACCTACCTGCCCGTACCCTCCGTTCCTCTGGCTCCGGTCTGCTCCACGTCCCCCGCCCCAACCGCCCTACTATCGGTGGTCGGGCCTTCAGCCTCTCAGCCCCGAGGCTCTGGAACTCCATCCCCCAGTGCCTTCGCCTTGCTTCCTCCCTTTCCTCCTTCAAGGCCGGTCTCAAAACCTTTCTCTTTGACCGTGCCTTCAGCTCCCCTCTCGACTCTCTACCCCCTCCTCGCTCCCTCCCTTCCCTCCCCTCACCCTGACCATTTCCCCCTCCTCTCTCCCTCCCTTCCCTCCCCTCACCCTGACCATTTCCCCCCTGCTCGGGTCATGACCCAACTGTGCAGCGCCTTGGGACGTCCTCCTGACGTGAAAGGCGCTCTATAAATGGAATCTTGTTGTTGTTGTTGTTGTTGTTGTGTGAATGTCACTAATTTGTATTGAAATATATTTTAAGCATATGCGGTGTTTACCCCAGAAATGAATCTTAAATCACTCTTGGATTTAATCTTGAATTTTAAATGCCGCTTTTATGTGCTTCGTCTAAAAAATGTTTTACTTTTTGGTGAGCTTTTTTTTATGTGCAATTCATATGCTTTTGTGTTTTTATACTAAAAAAAAGCTTTTCAACAAAATGAAACAAATGTGCTGGAACAATGCACAATTTAGTACAATTCCACATCTGACTAACTTGATTCAGTGCTCCAGTCAGCAAAATAACAGTCCCTTATACGATTGACCTTGTCTTAACATTGTTATGGGTTTTGGCCTTGTGAAGTCCTGGTTTTCCATTTTTATTTCACTTTGATACTGTGGGATACTGACATCTTTACAGGATAAATTTACTTCAAATTTTTCAATGTAAATGCTCTCCAGGGAGTTGAGTATATTAAGAACGAATAAATGCATCCCTGCCCTAGCTAGCCTGACCATCTGGAGTAGCTGCTCTCCAAGTCGTATGTATTGCACTTGCTGGGGCACTGCTTACGCATATCCAGAATTAGATTTTGCCTTAGGTTTAAAAAGGGCAATGTTGTCTTGGAAGAAAATCTTGCAAGGCAACTCTCCCCTGTTCATAAACAGGAGGTGCCGTGATGACACCATCGCATCACCTCACAAACGTGTTGGGCTGATTTTATGGTGGTTTTGTAAGGATTTTACTCTTCCAAGTGATTGCTACTGAATCCACTGTTGCACACAAGAAGATTGCAATGAAGCAATTAGTTGTTTCTTAATGCCAGACTCTTATCTGCTTCCGCTCCACATTGAACATTATGATGGTTTTTGTTATGATGCAGGCTCTTCTTGCCTGTTCAGGATTTGTGTTTATCCAATGAAGTTTCACCATGACAACGATGCCCCTTTTAAATAGGCTTTGTGAATATTTTCACTTAAGAAGCCTGTAGATGAGCCTTTATCAGCTTGAATAGGGCATCACAAGGAGGGAACTTACTCTCTTACGCATGCTGTCTCCCTTTGCCTAGCTGCACTGCTAGTGACTCAGCTTACAACTCCATACATATTCACCGCCCAAACTCCTGCTAGTAAAGATGCTGGCGAAGATCAACTAACAGGTCAGAGGTCAACAGCTAAACACCCTCTTCCTGCCTAAAATTGCCATACCCTTTTCGTTTTAGTGCATTGTTTTTAAACCTTCCTTTTTCCATTAGATACTTGTACACAACGTTGTGCTCGTATTTTTTTTTACCTTTTCCTTTGTCTTGGCTACGTGTAGAGCACAGAGAGCTCATCTTACATTTTCATAGCTGAATAGACTTTGGCTGGCTTGTAATCTGCATGTCTTGTAGTTTATATATTAGTTTTGACCTGTGACTATTTTCTTTTACTGCTCACCTTAGTGTAATGTCTTCTGCATTTAGTTCTCCCTTCATGTGTTTGAAGATTTAAATGTTGCAATAGCATCCGGTAAACTGGGTATAAAGATGATTGCATCTTCTCATGACAGGAAGTTATAGTTGGAGCTTTGCTGGTTGAATATATAGTGGTTATGTGAGGGATAAAATTATCTTGCTAGAAGCATTATTTAAATGAAAGGTTTGATCTTTACAAATCAGATTTCCAATGGAAATTCCAATCCAATTTTTTTTAAATCTTGCTTTACTAAACTTGTGTTTCAAAATTCCTAGCAGTACAGATGCCAAAATAGTGATTTGAGGTTTTCATCAGATCACCACAAATTGATTACATTTTTAAAAATCGTTTCATTAATTTTAACTGTCTGATTTGCATGAAGCATTCTCTTACTCTGCAACAGATAAGGTTTTCAAATTTATTTAAAGTGGAGCCATAAGGCAGTGTGAACAGATCTAATATTAAACAGCGCAGCAGCTCACAACACTTTTTCGTGTGCTTTTAACGATCCTCTTTGAAACCGTCTAAAAGTTCTGCTTACTAATATCACATTCAAGGTTGCTGCAAAATTATTTTGATTAATATTCCCAAAAGAGTATTCAGGTCAGTTGAAATTATAAATATAATTTTATATAAATTCTGTAAGTGGTTCCATAAAGGTTCTAATAAAATACGTAGGAAGAGGAAACTGACCATAATTTGGTAAATTTTCCGGTGTACTGTGCCTTAACTCTTAATTCCAGCTTCAAATTTTATTGTTAGAACAGCAGCAGCAAAGTAACATTTGTAAAGCACCTTTCACATCGGGAGGACGTCCCAAGCGCTGGACAGACAGAGTTACGGACCCGAGCTGAGGGGTGGGGAAGGAGGGAGGGAGGGCAGGGAGGGAAGCAGGGTGATCGAACACACAGTTGAAGATGAGGGTCTTGAGGTGGGTCTTGATGGTAGGGAGGGGGTAAGATGGAGGGATTGCAGAATGGAGTTCCACAGGGTGGGTGCAGAGTGGCGGAATGCCCGCCCGCCAATAATGGGGCGAGTAAGGCGGTGGACGTGAAGCAGGCTGGAGCCCGCTGAGTGGAGGGAGCGAACAGAGTGGTAGGGGGTTAGGAGGTTGGAGAGGTAAGGAGGAAAAATATCGTGGAGGGCTTTGAAGGTGAGGACCAGGATCTTGAACTGTATCCTCTGTGTGATGGGAAGCCAGTGGAGTTGGGCAAGAATGGGGCTGATAGGGTCACGAATATTTTTCACTGCATTTTATAAAGCAGGATCCAATAAGTATTTCAAAATGATTTTGTGCAGGAATCAATTATTTTTAGATTATAACCATTTAAAAATGGAAGGGTTTTTGTCATTGACTATTTGTGGGACACTGCTGTACGCAATTGGCTGCCACGTTTCGCCCACAAAATACACAGTCAATTCACTTGTATATTTTGTGAACATAACCATAACATGTAGGAGCAGGAGTAGACCATTCGGCCCTTCGAGCCTGCCCCGCCATTCAATCATGGAAATGAAATCATGGAAGTGAAGCGCTTTAAGACATCTCGAAGATGTGATAAGGCGCTATATCAAGGATTATTATTATTGTAATGATTTTAACAGTGCACTGTTAAAGTAACTATGATGTGATGTGTACGTTTTTGCCCAATGCCGAATGAGCCTTGAAATTAAAATGAAACCATTTGCAGAGGAAGGAAAATGTTGAAATAGATCTTAATTATTTTTTTCAAATGATTGTATAGTAGAACACTTGTCAACTCTGAATGTTCTGTATACACATAAGATTGGATCAAAAATATGCTGGACATGCTGTGCTTTCCTTGCCTCTCCCACTTTTATTAGTTAGAATTCCCATCCTCAGCCATACTTTTATATATTTTTTAACATTTCTGTTATGCCTGGCGACTGCAATGTTCTTTTGTGTTTGCTCCAAGTGTCTGCATCAAGCACTCTGAGTTCCAGGTACGCAGTATCTACCAGTTGGATTCAGAGTTCAGTCTCCATGTGTTCTGCCATAATCGTGTATCTTAACCCCAGTCTCAGAAGAACACTCTGTAATGCACAGAGTAAATGGCTTTATTTTCCCACAATAGCCTTCCTTTGTTGTCTTACTGGGAGAGACTGATTGTTTTGTACAAATTGTTAGTGGATTGTAGGTTTTTTTTGTACTGTTAACATGTGCGCATTAGAAACCTGATTGAGTCTGCATAAGCTTGTTTGTTCGTTAAAACCTTACAACTGTCAGAGAAACATGACTTTCAGAGCTCTAAGACTATTCCTGCGTCAAGGGTATAAAATAAAAATAAGTGCAAGTTGTTGTTGTAATTATGAAAGTAGCCAAGGTTACTATGTGCATTCCTGTGACTCTTGCTAGAAGTTTACATGTGTAGATGACAAATGAGGATGAGATCAGGCTCTGGTATGAGATACTCCAAGGCTGAAATAAACCATTATCACTCGCTACTCACACTTAAGAAATTCCTATTTGGGTGAGGTACTTGAGCATTTCTGCTACCATGGTTACTCTTACCCCAGAAGGGTAAGAGGAGCTGATCCTACTAATGTTGCA